ACACAGAATGGACACATGTGCTGGACCACCCTAGCAATATAGACACAGGGTGGACACATGTGCTGGACCAACCTAGCAATAAAGCCACAGGATGGACACATGTGCTGGACCACCCTACCAATATTGACATAGGATGGACGCATATACTAGACTATCGAGGACAAGATGGACACATGTGCTGTACCACCCTAGCAATATAGACACAGGATGAACACATGTGCTGTACCATCTTAGCAATATAGACACAGGATGGACACATGTGCTGGACCACCCTACCAATATAGACACTGGATGGACACATGTGCTGTACCACCCTAGCAATATAGACACAGGATGGACACATGTGCTGTACCATCTTAGCAATATAGACAAAGAATGGACATATGTGCTGGACCACCCTAGCAATATAGACATAGGATGGACACATGTGCTGGACCACCCTAGCAATATAGATATAGGATGGACATATGTGCTGTTCCACCCTAGCAATATAGACATAGGATGGACGCATGTGCTGTACCATCTTAGCAATATAGACCCAGAATGGCGAATGTGCTGGACCACCCTAGCAATATAGACATAGGATGGACACATGTGCTGTTCCACCCTAGCAATATAGACATAGGATGGACGCATGTGCCGTACCAACCTACCAATATAGACATAGGATGGACACATGTTCTGTACAACCCTACCAATATAGACATAGGATGGACGCATGTGCTGTTCCACCCTAGCAATATAGACATAGGATGGACACATGTGCTGTACAACCCTACTAATATAGACATAGGATGGACGCATGTGCTGTTCCACCCTAGCAATATAGACATAGGATGGACACATGTGCTGTACAACCCTACTAATATAGACATAGGATGGACGCATGTGCTGTTCCACCCTAGCAATATAGACATAGGATGGACGCATGTGCTGTTCCACCCTAGCAATATAGACATAGGATGGACGCATGTGCTGTTCCACCCTAGCAATATAGACATAGGATGGACGCATGTGCTGTTCCACCCTAGCAATATAGACATAGGATGGACACATGTGCTGTACCATCTTAGCAATATAGACATAGGATGGACGCATGTGCTGTTCCACCCTAGCAATATAGACATAGGATGGACACATGTGCTGTACCATCTTAGCAATATAGACATAGGATGGACACATGTGCTGTACCATCTGAGCAATATAGACATAGGATGGACACATGTGCTGTACAACCCTACCAATATAGACATAGGATGGACGCATGTGCTGTACCAACCAACCAATATAGACATAGGATGGACACATGTTCTGTACAACTCTACCAATATAGACATAGGGTGGACGCATGTGCTGTACAACACTACCAATATAGACATAGGATGGACGCATGTGCTGGACCACCCTAGCAATGTAGACATAGGATGGACGCATGTGCTGTACCAACCTACCAATATAGACATAAAATGGACACATGTGCTGTACCATCTTAGCAATATAGACATAGGATGGACACATGTGCTGGACCACCCTACCAATATAGAAATAGGATGGACGCATGTGCTGGACCACCCTAGCAATATAGACATAGGATGGACGCATGTGCTGTACCAACCTACCAATATAGACATAGGATGGACACATGTGCTGTACCATCTTAGCAATATAGACATAGGATGGACGCATGTGCTGGACCACCCTAGCAATATAGACACAGGATGGACACATGTGCTGTACCATCTTAGCAATATAGACATTGGGTGGACACGTGCTGGCCCCCCCTTACAATATAGACATAGGATGGACACATGTGCTGTACCATCTTAGCAATATAGACATAGGATGGACACATGCACTGTACAACCCTACCAGTAAAGACATAGGATGGACACATGTGCTGGACCGACCTAACAAAATAGACATAGGATGGACGCATGTGCTAGACCACCCTAGCAATAAAGACATAGGATGGACACATGTGCTGAACCACCCTAGCAATATAGACACAGGATGGACACATGTGCTGTACCATCTTAGCAATATAGACATAGGATGGACACATGTGCTGTACCACCCTAGCAATATAGACACTGGATGGACACATGTGCTGTACTACCCTAGCAATATAGACACAGGGTGGACACATGTGCTGTACCACCCTAGCAATATAGACATAGGATGGACACATGTGCTGTACTACCCTAGCAATATAGACATAGGATGGACACATGTGCTGTACTACCCTAGCAATATAGACATAGGATGGACACATGTGCTGTACTACCCTAGCAATATAGACACTGGATGGACACATGTGCTGTACTACCCTAGCAATATAGACACAGGGTGGACACATGTGCTGTACTACCCTAGCAATATAGACATAGGATGGACGCATGTGCTGTACACCCCTAGCAATACAGACACTGGATGGAAGCATGTGCTGGACCACCCTAGCAATATAGACACAGGATGGACACATGTGCTGTACCATCTTAGCAATATAGACACAGAATGGACACATGTGCTGTACCATCTTAGCAATATAGACATAGGATGGACACATGTGCTGTACAACCCTACCAATATAGACATAGGATGGACACATGTGTTGTTCCACCCTAGCAATACAGACATAGGATGGACGCATGTGCTGTACCAACCAACCAATATAGACATAGGATGGACACATGTTCTGTACAACTCTACCAATATAGACATAGGATGGACGCATGTGCTGTACAACCCTAGCAATATAGACATAGGATGGACGCATGTGCTGGACCACCCTACCAATATAGACATAGGATGGACGCATGTGCTGGACCCTCCCAGAAATATAAACACTGGATGGACACACGTGCTGTACCACCCTAGGAATATAGACATAGGATTGACACATGTGCTGTACCATCTTAGCAATATAGACACTGGATGGACACATTTGCTGTACCACCCTAGCAATATAGACATAGGATGGACACATGTGCTGTACTACCCTAGCAATATAGACACAGTATGGACACATGTGCTGTACCACCCTAGCAATATAGACACTGGATGAACACATGTGCTGTACCACCCTAGCAATATAGACATAGGGTGGACACATGTGCTAAATCATCTTAGCAATAAAGACACTGGATGGACACATGTGATGTACCACCCTAGCAATATAGACATAGGATGGACGCATGTGCTGGACCACCCTACCAATATAGACATAGGATGGACGCATGTGCTGGACCCTCCCAGAAATATAAACACTGGATGGACACACGTCCTGTAGCACCCTAGGAATATAGACATAGGATTGACACATGTGCTGTACCATCTTAGCAATATAGACACTGGATGGACACATTTGCTGTACCACCCTAGCAATATAGACATAGGATGGACACATGTGCTGTACTACCCTAGCAATATAGACACAGTATGGACACATGTGCTGTACCACCCTAGCAATATAGACACTGGATGAACACATGTGCTGTACCACCCTAGCAATATAGACATAGGGTGGACACATGTGCTAAATCATCTTAGCAATAAAGACACTGGATGGACACATGTGATGTACCACCCTAGCAATATAGACACGGGGTGGACACATGTGCTGGACCACGCTAGAAATATAGACACGGGGTGGACACATGTGCTGGACCATCTTAGCAATATAGACATAGGATTGACACATGTGCTTGACCACCCTAGCAATAAAGACACAGGATGGACGCATGTGATGTACCACCCGAGCAACATAGACACAGAATGGACACATGTGCTGGACCATCTTAGCAATATAGACATAGGATTGACACATGTGCTTGACCACCCTAGCAATAAAGACACAGGATGGACGCATGTGATGTACCACCCGAGCAACATAGACACAGAATGGACACATGTGCTGGACCATCTTAGCAATATAGACATAGGATGGACGCATATATTAGACTATCGAGGGCAGGGTGGACACATGTGCTGGACCACCCTAGCAATATAGACACAGGGTGTACACATTTGCTGGACCACCCTAGCAATATAGACACAGGGTGGACATCCTAGCAGCATACACTCAGAATGGACACATGTGCCAAACCATCGAGAAGGGGATGGACAAATGTGCTAGCCTATCCAGGCATTATAGACACAGTTTGGACACATGTGTTAGACCACTCAGGTAATACGGACACAGGATGAACACATATGCTAGATCGGCCAGGCAATATAGACAGAGGACGGATACGTGTGTTAGATCACTGAGGCAATACAGACACAGGCAGGAGACAAGCCCTTTAAGGCCATCCGGTCCACGTAAAACCTCCCACCTTCTACCAATGGCATCGAGTTCAAAACGGTACACCTTCGATCCCCCACCTCCACAACTTCATAAACCAAGAACAATACCAACACACTAATGACAGCCTACATTCGATATATCTACAAGCACTTAATACTCTTCTTACCAGGTGTCAAATCAGATAGCCATAATAAGCCAGTCATGATTAAAAAACTTTCGCCTAAAAAAAGATAAAATGGGATTTGACATCACGATTCGAAGTTAAAATAGCTAGTTGGAACACAGAAAACGATAAGTCCGCCGTAATCAATCTGGGAACGACTGGAGACGCTGACCGTGTGGGTCGGAAATGCTTTATGTTGAAGTGTATTGCTTTTATTTTGTGCGTCGATATGCACGTTTTACTGGTGTTTCACTGTTTAACTGTTTTGTAAATAAGTTTGAAGTTATTGTTTATTAAGAAGTCATCACATATTGATTTTTTAGTGTGTATTATCGTCGTTCGGAATATCAAAAACATTATCTGTTTTCGCGACGACGTGGGCGTGTAAATCCGCATACGTTTAAAGGTTTACAAAAATGTAATTAAAACGAAATATATCCTTAACGTTCAACTCTGAAAGGTTCCCTTTATGCGAAGAAGAAAACTTGATGCCTGATTACATGCATCCGTTTCAATCTCAGATATACACACCTGCGTGGTGATGGCGCGGCTCTGGTAGCCTAGCAACGAATTCCCAAGACCCTGTGACGTCATCAAGCACAGAGATTTCATCACATACGGGTTCTGACTTGAGTCTTGGAGCGCCACCTACGACCACAAGGCAATCTCTATGAGCTGAAACTCTGGGAACGGTTCGGGAAGTCTGCAATGAGAAAAAAAACCATGTTATAAATATCACCTTGAACACTTGTCAAAATGAAACACAATTGCGAGTTTTAATGTCGGAAATAAAGAAATGTTTGAGACAGAATACTGTCCTTCAGTAAAAACTTGAGGATTTATGAGAATATGTACTCAATTGCAATATGCACGCACTTACACTGCAAATGTAATTAAAGGTCGCGTATACACTAACAGTAAATGTCACCAGATATGTAACCCTGAGGTGGGTTGGTGTATATTTCTTTCATTGAAATAAGTTGCTGTGTTAGCTTTGTTCCCAGCTTGGTCAATCTGGGGAGCACACATTTCTGAGATTTAGCGGCCGCTTCCGACAATACTCTGACTTTACTATCAGGAAATTGCAGGGGTAAACATGGTAAATGTGCAATACTAAAATTGAGTTTGTTTAATGGGATATTTTATTGTTTATGCGTATAACAATAACATAAATAATCATTAAGAATTAGTTGACTTTTTAATAAAAAACATTTCATAAGAGTGACTTAAAATTTAACGTCGCATAGGCTCTATTTCAGCCATATAGCGACGAGAACAAGTATGATATATACACAAGTGAGTCAAGAATCAATATTTCATAACAGAAATTGATAGAACGTTGAAGATGGCAACTCTCATTTACGACGCTCGCCATCAACCGTGACTTGAGCACAAAATTCCCCCGCACATTCATATCGTGTACCCTGCCGGAAGCCGAACTTATGTGGCACGATGGTGCATAGCTTCGAAATGCTTCTTGTACAGACTTGTTTCTGGTTGCATTTGAGTTGTGTCAGCTTTATGGTGAGACGGCTTCTTTTAATATTTGTTGTAAGTATAAATCGTTTATGATTTGCGATATCTTACAGGGTTATAAGTGTGGATATATTTTCACATATAAAATAGGCCTTCCAAAATCTTGAAAATGTGACACTCTGGTAAGCGAGTATACGTGACACGACCGACCAGACCAATAAGTACAAACTGGAATATTCGTAAAATAAATGTGGTTCAGAAATTAACAGAAAATATCTTATTGCCCCAGGCTGGCATGCTCCATATTTCATAGGAAGAATATGTTTTGAATCTGTGATCGAAAAACAAATCGTGAAATAATATTTTTTTTAAAAGCCACGAAACGTATTCGTTGGAATGTATCAGTAATACATTGCCATTCCTAGTTGCTGGATCGTATGCAATATCTTATGCAGCAGGTGACATACCCATCAATGAACAACACACTCATCGAGAGAAATGTGAAAGAAGAAAGAGTATGTTACCTTAGATTTGATAGCGCTAACTTGTTTTGGAACCGAACCCACAGCGTACCTGCTTTGTATTCAATACCGCGCATCATTATTATGACGTCATACCGCTCATTGTGACAAGGGAACTAAAAAAGCGTCAAATTTCAATCTCACTGTTCCTAAAACATGAAATGAAATCTTAGTCGATTTCTGCCCCCAAACGTTTTGTCACACAAGCTTTATGTATTGTAGCAGCCCTGTTCTACAATTTGTAACTAATAACTGTACCTATCATCATTATAAAATGCCAACAAAAATAACTGAGCAAGAATACTTTTGAATACAAGCTTCCCTGCAATACGGCCGTCAAATCAACTTTTTTTCAATCACCGCTGGTTACTGTAATTTGATACTACTGACTGACCAATCTGAATCTAGTGTTTACCAAATTCATGGTTGAATGACAAACGCAGCATTGTTGGCTTAATGAAATACCATTGTTTATGACGTCATGCTTCCTCTGAAAAGAGTTTGACATGTATGTTACTACACCAAGAAGATACTACCCTTTCCTTTCAGATACAAAGAGTGCACGATACATAGATTATTACATTAGTATGTGTATCATACTGATTGAACGAAACTCATCTCAGATTCCAGGGATTTCCCTAGCGAATACAAAACTGCAGGCACTCGTTTGCTATCAAGGCAAGCGAATGTAATACTCTCCATATCATCTGTCACACGATCTTATATATGAATCCCATAACAATCTTAACTTGTATAAGGCAACCAATTAAATCACAATAAATCCATTTTTATCTGTTTCCTAAAATTAAGTCTTTCGAGCTCTGATTTTGTTTCTGCTGACTGTGCAGAACGGATGTGGATCACGTGTTGGCTGGCATGTGTTTCTGCAGAGCAGGTATTGGTTCTGACACTTAGATATCTACAGTGTACATATAAATGTTTCACCTGCATTACTTGTGGATCAAGTCAAGATGGAAGACGCGTCGGGTGTACACGAGATGATAGGTCGTCAACCAACAAAGTTTATCGCCCGATGACAGTAAAATAAGAATACAATTAATAAAAGAAATATTATAGCCATGCAACTATAAACAATCCAGGAGGACGAAAAAATGTGTTCTCAATAGCACGATGAGACGCAATGAGCCAGGTCAAATAAGAAACCAGAAGCTTCCGGAGGGTCTGTGGCATGAGTGTCTGTATGTGTGTGTGTGTGTGTGTGTGTGTGTGTGTGTGTGTGTGTGTGTGTGTGTGTGTGTGTGTGTGTGTGTGTGTGTGTGTGTGTGTGTGTGTGTGTCCAGTTCTGTGTGTATGCGTCTCTGTGTGTATGTGTCTAGGGCTGTGTGTACGTGTCTGTGTTTGTGTGTAGGTTTGTGTGTAGGTTTGCGTGTATGTGTCTAGGTTTGTGTATGTGTGTGTTTGTGTATGTGTGTCTATGTGCCTGTGCGTGTCTAGCTTTGTGTGTATCTGTGTGTATGTGTCCAGGTCTGTGTGTATGCTTCTTTGTGTGTATGTGTCTAGGTCTGTGTGTATGTGTCTGTGTGGGTATGTGTCTGTGTGGGTATGTGTGGGTATTGTCTAGGTCTGTGTGTGCATGTGTCTGTGTGTGTATGTGTCTCTATGTCTCTAAATGTATGTGTGTATGTGTCTAGGTTTGTGTATATCTGTGTGTCTGTGTGTCTCTCATTCTCGGAGAAGGGAGAGACATGTGACGGAGAAGAGAGAGACATGTGGCCTGTACAGGCGGAGAAGGGAGAGACATGTATGTGACCTGTACAGATGGAGAAGAGAGAGACATGTATGTGACCTGTACAGACGGGGAAGGGAGAGACAAGTGGCCTGTACAGACGGAGAAGCGAGAGACATGTGACCTGTACAGACGGAGAAGCGAGAGACATGTGGCCTGTACAGACGGAGAAGCGAGAGACATGTATGTGACCTGTACAGACGGAGAAAGGAGAGATTGTGGCCTGTACAGACGGAGAAGGGAGAGACATGTATGTGACCTGTACAGACGGAGAAGGGAGAGACATGTATGTGACCTGTACAGACGGAGAAGGGAGAGACATGTATGTGACCTATACAGACGGAGAAGGGAGAGACATGTGACCTGTACAGATGGAGAAGGGAGAGAGATGTGGCCTGTACAGACGGAGAAGGGAGAGACATGTGACCTGTTCAGGCGGAGAAGGGAGAGACATGTGACCTGTACAGACGGAGAAGAGAGAGACATGAATGTGACCTGTACAGACGGAGAAGAGAGAGACATGTGGCCTGTACAGACGGGGAAGGGAGAGACATGCGGCCTGTACAGACGGGGAAGGGAGAGACATGTATGTGACCTGTACAGACGGAGAAGGGAGAGACATGTGACCTGTACAGACGGAGAAGAGAGAGACATGTGGCCTGTACAGACGGAGAAGGGAGAGACATATATGTGACCAGTACAGACGGATAAGGGAGTGAGATGTGACCTGTACAGACGGGGAAGGGAGAGACATGTGACCAGTACAGACGGAGAAGGGAGAGACATGTGGCCTGTACAGACGGAGAAGAGAGAGACATGTGGCCTGTACAGACGGAGAAGGGAGAGACATATATGTGACCAGTACAGACGGAGAAGGGAGTGAGATGTGACCTGTACAGACGGGGAAGGGAGAGACATGTGACCAGTACAGACGGGGAAGGGAGAGACATGTATGTGACCTGTACAGACAGAGAAGGGAGAGACATGTGACCTGTACAGACGGAGAAGAGAGAGACATGTGGCCTGTACAGACGGAGAAGGGAGAGACATATATGTGACCAGTACAGACGGAGAAGGGAGAGACATATATGTGACCAGTACAGACGGAGAAGGGAGTGAGATGTGACCTCTACAGACGGGGAAGGGAGAGACATGTGACCAGTACAGACGGAGAAGGGAGAGACATGTGACCTGTACAGACGGGGAAGAGAGAGACATGTGGCCTGTACAGACGGGGAAGGGAGAGACATGTGGCCTGTACAGACGGGGAAGGGAGAGACATGTGGCCTGTACAGACGGAGAAGGGAGAGACATGTGACCTGTACAGACGGAGAAGAGAGAGACATGTGGCCTGTACAGACGGGGAAGGGAGAGACATGTGGCCTGTACAGACGGGGAAGGGAGAGACATGTGGCCTGTACAGACGGGGAAGGGAGAGACATATATGTGACCAGTACAGACGGAGAAGGGAGTGAGATGTGACCTTACAAAACATGGCGTACAGAATATAGATAGAACATATGGAATGGTAATGGAAGATGTGACAAGATAAGCTAAGCTGCATTGTATCTCGTGACCTGGAACTTACTCATTTTAAATTTATTCCTTTTTCAGATTCTTGCCATTTTAAAGTATTTAAAATGTAATGGACATACTGTGAAAACATTTTTATTGTTTATGTTGCCATTTCAGTTATGCCAGTGATGCATAAAGAGGTAAACATGTGCTTTTGCAGAGAGTAAAAAAATACATACATTGTGATCGTAATCACGGTAACAGAAGCCAGATATTTAACAGTTATTGTGCTAGCCAGTGGATCTAGTTAATAGGCAAGAACTCTTAACAACATCAACAGTGAGAACAGTTTCAAGATGACACTATCATTGCTTAATCATAATCCAGATTGTTACATGTATAGACAAGGAGCGGTTATAAGTTCAGCTGTTTCCTATTGCAAAC